TCATCCAGCTCTACACCTTGTTGTCTCTTTATGACATATGGATGGCTTTCATTCCTTGCTGGAGTGGGAGCATTTAAACAGAGCAACTCATACCAACAGAAACGTTTGTTACTTCTGGATTTCTATCAGGAACCCACAGTGAAGGATTGTTTTCTAAATTCTTTTACAGGATACTAAATTAGAAGTACTTGCAAACGCTAAACTCAAAAACAAACAGGGATGTACTACTGAGGCTTTATAAGGCTCTGGTCAGGCCACGTTTGGAGTATTGCGTGAAGTTGTGGGCCCCATTACTCAGGAAGGATGTAACAGCCCTGGAGCGGGTTCAGAGGAGGTTCACGAGAATGGTCCAGGAATGGAAAGCTGAACATATGAGGAATGTTTGAGGACTCTGGGACTATACTCATTGGAGTTTAGACGGACGAGGGAGGCTCTAATTGAAACTTTCAGAATACTGAATGGCCTGGACAAAGTGGATGTTGGGAAGATGCTTCCAGTGGTAGGAGAGTCTAGGACCGGAGGGCACAGCTTTAGAGTAAAGGGAAGACCTTTTAGAACGAAGATAAGGAGAAACTACTTCAGCCAGAGAGTGGTGAATCTATGGAATTCACTGCCACTGAAGGCTGTGGAAGCCAGGTCATTGAGTACATTTAAGACCGAGATAGATAGGTTCTTGATGATCAAGGGGATCAAGGGTTACGGGGAGAAAGCAGGAGAATGGGGTTGAGGAACTTATCAGCCATGTTTGAATAGCGGAACAGACTCAGTGGGCTGAATGGCCTAATTTCTGCTTCTGTGTCTTATGGTCAAATATTATTGTAAATACCTGACAGTCACTCAACGAATCAAAATCTGAACGCATCAACCTTTAAACATGGAACAATTAAGGTTTGTTCTGCTTGTAGGAAAAGATTTTCAATATTTGGAAGTACAGCAAGATTTGGAATTGGGAAATAATGAGGTGAATTTACAAATTGAGGTACTGCTGTCATTGGACAGAGTGATGGCTGTGAAAGGGTCATTGCGTGAGAAAGGACACAGTTCTGAATGATCTGAAGATTATAGATGTGAAATATGGTAGGCCAACAAGGAAACTGTCAGCACTGTGAAGCGTAGAGTCAACAGAGGAAAGGATTAGAGTTGCAAAACCAGTTTGGCTGAGACAAATGCAATTTTGGCGGTATTACAAAGGTGGATCCATTTTGACTTGACCCTCTTTCACACTCTGTTTCTTTCCTTTTATTGAGGTCAGACTAGGAGGCAAGTTCCTTTCCCAGAATCATAGATTCTACAGCATGGAAGCAGGCCACTTGGCCCATCGAGTCCACAACGACCCTCCAAAGAGCATCCCGCCCTCCCCAGCCAATTCCTGTAACTCCGTATTTCCATGGCTAGTCCACCTAGCCTGCATATCTTTGGACTGGAAAGACATTACCAAACCAGTGGGTTTTTATGACAGTCTGGCAGCTTTCATGGTCGTTTTTTTCATAGTCTCGTAGATTACCAGATTCTTTCAATTCAATTCTACAAATTTCTTTTGTTTCATTTTTGTTATCACTCACTCCTATATTTGTTTTAACTCAATTAAATAGGGTGTTTGAAAGGGAGGATTTGCAGTGAGAAAACTGACATGTGAAATCTGCATCACGCCAGGACCTGAATGTTTTTGGATTCTGAACATGGAAGCAGAAAGCACCGTTCACAATAGGGAGAAACCGTACACATGTTCTCTGTGTGGACGAGTCTTCAGCCATTCCTCTGGCCTGTCAAGACACAAGCTCAGTCACACTGGTGCGAAACCGTGGAAATGCGGGGACTGTGGGAAGGCATTCACATCACCTTCTGATCTGGAAAGGCATCGGCGCAGTCACACTGGGGAAAGGCCATTCACCTGTTCCGAATGTGGGAAGGGATTCAACCAGTTATCCAACCTGCTGCAACACCAGCAGGTTCACACTGATGAGAGACCTTTTAGATGTCCAGACTGTGGGAAGTGCTTTAAAAGGTCTTGGGACCTGATGTCCCATCAACGTGCCCACACTGATGAGAGACCATTCAGATGTTCTCACTGTGGGACAGGATTCAAGAAATCATATAATCTCACCTTACACCAGCGACTTCACACTGGGGAGAGGCCATTCATCTGCTCAGAGTGTGGGAAAGGATACACTCAATTGTGCAACCTGCAGACACACCAGCGAGTTCACACTGGGGCACGACCATTCACCTGCCCCGAATGTGGGAAGGGATTTACTCAGTCAGCCCACTTGTTAAGACACCAGCAAGTTCACAAGAAATCATGATGTTCAGATTTTGCTGTGAATCATGTCCAAGGTACAACCATGTTCTCTGGAATTTGTCTCTGCTAATGTAAATAGACCACAGTCTAGTTATGTATGTTAATATTTTGGATAAATTCAAATAAACCAGCTTTGTGCTGCCCACATAATGTGTCAAGTTTTTACGATCTATACCACAAGTTAGTTCCTTTTGAAGGGGCTGTCTGTCTACACTGTCTCCTGCATCCTCGCTACAATCCATAAATGCGAGGAGTTCATGGCGATTCTTTTGCCATTAACATTGAGACAAACTGATAGCTGCCTCTGCTACTTCCCTTCCTCCACTAGCCTACCAGGACAAATTGTCTGCAACGTTTTAACATGCAGACCCCTGAACATACATCTTCCTTTAGTTTCTCTCACATCTACTCTGATGACATCTGGTTGTCAGTTTGTCTACCTCCATTGACCCTATTCCAATTAAAGTGCTGATCACACAAAATTCCCACATTCTCTGATATTGTTAATGACTCTCTCTCTCTCCAGTCTCTGGCCCCTTCAAATCTGCCATCCTTAATCCCTCTTTGATAAATTATTTCTTGAACATCACTCCCATCCTCGAAACCGGTATCCATTCCCAACATCCTTTTTACCTAGAAAGTCCTTGACCATATTGATATGTAGAATCCCTACAGTGTGGATAAAGGCCAGTCTGCTCATTGAGTCTGCACCAGCCCTCCAGACTAAGCGCCCCATCCTTATCCCCACGCCCCTACATTTACCATGACTAATGCACCTAACCTGCACATCTTTGGGCACAGGAAGAATCTGCAAACTCCTCTCAGATGGTCGTCCAAGGCTGAAGTTGAACCTGGCTCCCAGGCGCTATGAGTCAGAGAGTCATTCGGCATGGAAACAGACCCTTTGGTCCAACCAGTCCGTGCCAACCATAATCCCAAACTAAACTAGTCCCACATGCCTGCACTTGGCCTATATTCATCCAAACATTTCTTATTCATGTACTTTTAAATGTTGTAACTGTAACCACTTCCATTACTTCGTCTGGAAGTTAACTCCCCACACAAACTACTCTTGTTAAAAAAAAGTCCACACTTCTTTTTTAAAACTTCCTCCTCTCCCCCTAAAAATACGCCCTCTCGTCTTGAAATCTCCCACCGTGGGGAAAAGACACCTACCGTTCAACTTATCTATACCCTTCATGATTTTGTAAACCTCCATAAAGTCACCTCTCAACCTCCCACGCTCCAGCAAAAAAGTCCCAACCTATCCAGCCTCTCCCTATAACTCAAACCCTCCATTTCTGGCAACATCCTGGTAAATCTCTTCTGAACCCTCTCTATCTTAATAATATCCTTCCTGTAACAAGGTGATCAGAACTGGACACAGTACTCCAGAAGAGGCCTCACCAATGTCCTGCACAACCTCGGCATAATGTCCTAACTCTTATACTCAAAAGATCTGAGCAATGAAAGCAAGCGTGCTAAATGCCTTCTTAACTTCCCTATATGTGATGCAAACTTCAAAGAATTATGTACCTTAACCCCGAGGTTCTACAACACTACAATAGTGCTAACCGCTAACACTTCCCAAATCCCTGCCCATTTTCCCAGAACTCAATATCTGAACCTCTCCAATTGTATGACTGAGGTAAACTCTTTTCATCCTTGAACTGGCTGCAGCCTTGGGCAAGGATAACTATGCCACTCCACATCAATAATTCTCTGCTGTCATCCCGCTGGGTGTGGCTGCTCTCAGAGTCATGGAGGACTGCAGCACAGAAAAAGACCCTTCAGCCCATCGAGCCTACACGAGCCAAAAAGCCAACTAACTACTTTAATCCCATTTTTCAGCAATGGAGCCATAAACTTGGCATCGCAAATGTACATCTAAATACTACTTCAATGTTATGAGGGTTTCTGCCTCTGCCAACTTTACAGTTGCAGAGTCCCATCACCCTCTGGGTGAACAACAATCTCGTCACATTCCCCCAAATCTCCCGCTCCTTACCTAAATCTATGCTCCTGGCCATTGATTACTCCACCAAGAGGAAGTGTTTCTTCACTCTACCCTGTCTACACTCTTCATAGTTTTATACATTTCAATTACATGCACTCTTAGTCTCCTCTGCTGGTGAAGGGTTTCAGCCTAAAACGTTGACTTGCCTGCTCCTCTGATGCTGTCTGACGTGCTGTGCTTTTCCAGCCTCACACCTATAGACTCCTCTGTTCATTGTGTATTCCTTTAACTTGCCTTGATGCCCAAATGCATTACCTCACACTTATCCAGTTAAAATTCAATTTGCCACTCACCAGCCCATCTATATCCTCCTGTAATCTAAGGCTATCCTCCTCACTGGTTACGTCCCCAACAATTTTCCTATCACCCACGCACTTACTGATCAACCTTTGCTACATTCAAGTCTAAATTGTCTATATAAACCGCAAACAGCAAGTTGTCCCAAGATTGATCTCTGTGGAACTCCATTGGACACAAGCTTCCAGTCACAAAAACACCCCTCCCTTTCTGCTCAGAGATGGTAGGATCTGCCGATGCTGGAGTCTGAGATAACAAGGTGTGGAGCTGGAGGAACACAGCAGGCCAGGCAGCAAAGGAGCAGGAAAGCTGACGTTTCAGGTCTGCACTGTTCTTCAGCTTTCTGCCACTCAAGCAATTCTGGATCCAATTTGCTGCATCTCCTTGGATTCATGGGCTAAGACGCTTGCTATCAGCCTTCCACGTGAGACATTATCAAATGCATTATCCTCATCTACACACCTGGTTACATCTTTGAAAACTTCAATCAATTTGACCAGATGGGACTTCTCCTTAATAAAACTTGTCTTGATTAATCCCTACCTCATCACTGCAGATTAATTCTGCGGGACAGAATTGCTTCCAATAGATTTCCCATGAGTGAGGTTAGATTGACTGGGCTACGATTTCCTGGTTCATCTGCCAGCGCACCTATTCCCAACAAGGAACTGAAAATTAATAGCAATGCCCCCATTATTGCATTCCCTTTCCTCACTTAACGCCTGGGATACATTTCATCCAGCCCCAGACATTTAACTAAGCCTGCCAGACTACTCAGAAACTCCCCTCTGTCTATGCTAACCTCTAAGTACATCACACTCCTCTCTGATTTCTATACACACATCTTTCCCCTCACTTGTGAATACTGACACAATGTATTAATTTGGAACCCTACCTATGTCCTCTGGCTCCATGCACAAATTACCACTATGGTCCTTAATGGACCACACTCTTTTCCTAGTTATCTTTTTATCCTGTACTTGTAAAATAAAAGTTAGAATTTTCCTTTATTTTACCTGCCATTACTCTTTCATGTCTGTTTTTGTTCTTCTGGTTTCCATTTGCACATTCTGGACTCCTGCAAGGCTTCTACTGTTTTGAGCCCTCTGTGTTTGCCATAAGCCTTCATTTTCTCTTTATCCGATCCTGTATATCTTTTGAAATCCAGGGTTCACAGGATGTGTTGGTCCTAACTTGATTTTGTTTGCTCCATCTTGGTTCAATTCTTCTTTGTCTAATTGTAGCTGGAGTCTCACCACCAAAGTCTTTACAGTTCCTGCTCGAGTTTGCTAAGAATCCAGCCTTGGGCTACTTTTATGCCTCATCAACAAGTTTGTCGCTGGGGAATGAAAACAAAATCGTCAGTCTTCCCAATGTTTAATTGCAGGAAATTTCTGCTCATTCACCACTGGATATCAGGGAAACAGACTGATCATGGAGCAACAGTTGAGAGGTGGTGGTGATGAGATGGAGCTGGGGGCTACCTGTGTACATGAGACAACTGTTTCCATTTGACACTGTTGATGAGGAATAAGAGAAGGCCAAATCTGGATCTCTTGGGCACCAGACGAAACTGTCGGAGCGAGAGACAGAGCCATTGCCAGTGAGATTTTGGCTCTGATTAGTCAGGCAAGAACGGAACCAAGAGAGAGCAGCCTCTCACCCAGCTGTTGCCTGTGGAGAGGTGTTGCATCAGAATGGCGTGGTCATCCTTATACAAGGCTGCAGTCAGGTTGACGGAGACGAATAGCATTTACCTCAGTCACAGTTAGACAGGCTGTCATTTATGACTTTATAGGAGAAACAACTCTCTCCAATGACCAGAAGGGTTCACGTATGGCATTCCAAGAAAGCTGCTCACGTACAATGTAGAGAAAGTGTGGTTGGAAACAGGGACACTATTTTGCAAGGATAGTGGGGTCGAGGGTTTGATTTTGAGGAAAAAAAAAAATGATGACAGGCTTGAAAGACAGGGGAACAGGGCCCGAAGAGGGAGATGCACATATGGAACGAGCTGCCAGAGGAAGTGGTGGAGACATGTACAATTACAACATTTAAAAGACAACTGGATGGGTATATAAATAGGAAGGCCTTAGAGGGATAAGGCCTTATGGGACAAATGCTGGCAAATGGGACTAGGTCAGATTGGGATGTCTGGTTATCCTAGACCGAAGGGTCTGCTTCCGCATTGTATGACTCTGTCAACAATGTGAACGAATATGGAGATGTTGGGTGATCAGTCTTTGATAAGAAAAGGATCAGTGGAGGGTCTCATGGAAAAATGACAATAGGAAAAGAGATTTCGGGGGAATGGCAGAGAACAAAGCAAAATGCAGGTTCAGGACTCTTTAGAGGCACTTTAGACTAGTGGAAAAACAGAGAAGCAGCTGATCGGTTTAGTGACAAAGGAAATTCTTGAATGAGCCAATGTGTTCGGCTGCAGACATTTCGTCACCCTGCTAGGTAACATCGCAGTGCGCCTCTGGTGAAGCATTGGTGTTAATTATATGCCTTGGTTTGCTGAGTTGATCGGTATTACTTCTGGTTCTGTTTTTCAGTGGCTTGTATACCGGGTTCAGTTCAATGTGGTCGTTGACGGAGTTCCTTTAGATTCATCAGTAGCTGTTGCAGGGTGGTTGTTGGTTTGTGGGCTACCCTGATAGCTCGGGGTCTGAGTAGTCTTGTGGTTGGTCATCTCTGACGTGTCCCTGACGTGCCTGGCCGTGTTGTATCTTCTTGTTGTGGTCTGTAGTGGAAATAACGGCGGATTGCACTTTTTGGGTATCCATTCCTTTTAAAAAACTCCATATAGGTGCTCCTGTTCTGCTTTGCACAATTCCAGGTTGCTGCAGTGTTGTGGCTCATTTGAATGATGTCCTGATGCAGCTCCATTTATGGATGTTGGGGTGGCTGCTGGTGTAATTAAGTATCTGGTCCATATGTGCGACTCTCTGTATAGCTAGTCTGGAGTTCCCGGTTGTTCTTACGTTCCACCATTACATCCAGGAAGGGTAGTCAGTTGTTGTTCTCTTCTTCTTTTGTGAGTTTTATTCTGGTGAGGATGTTGTTTTGTGTCACTGGGTTTCTTCTAGTCTTGTGCATTTGATAATCACGAAGGTGTCATCTACATAGCAGACCCAGAGTTGGGGTTGGATAGTGGAGAGCGCTGTCTGTTCTACCTTTGCACTACCGCTTCTGCCATCAGTCCTGATATTGGGGATCCCATCAGAGTTCCATTGATTTGTTTAAATATGTGGCTGTTGAAGGTGAAGTGAGTTGTGAGGCACAGATCCAGCTGTTTCAGGGCACTATCCTTGTTGATGCTGTTGGTGTCACGAGGTGCCTGATTCATCCAGCAGTGTGGCAATTGTCTCTTTTGCTGGCTCAATGTTTAGGGAATTAAATAGTGCTGTTACAGCAAAGGATATCATTATCTCATCCATTTCTATTCTGGTGTCCTTGATGATGTTGAGGAATTCTTGGGAGGAGTGGATGGAGTGAGTAGACAGACCACAACAAGTTACAACACAGCCACAAGGCTACTCAGACCCCTAGCTATCAGGGTAGCCCACAAACCGACAACCACCCTGCAACAGCTACTGACAAATGTAAAGGATCCCATTCCCACAACCATTAAAACTAATTTATTATACAAAATACCATGCAAGGACAGTGAGAAACATTACATAGGCCAAAACTGGAAGAAAACTGACAATAAGGATACACGAACACCAACTAGCCACCAAGAGACACAAACCAATTCTCACTGGTCTCAACACACACGGACAAAGAAGGACACAAATTTGACTGGGACAGCATATCCAGGGAATTCCTGGAGGCCTGGCATTCCAACCAGAACTCCAACAAACACACTGAACTGGACCCGATATACAAACCACTGAGAAACAGAACCAGAAGTAATGCCAACCACCCCAGCAAAGCGAGGCATATAAGTAACAAGCAGGACAGAACACCTACACTTCACCAGAGGCGCACTGACGATGTTACCTAGCAGGGTGACGAAACATCTGCAATCAAACACACCGGCTCAGCCACCGAGTCTGCAACCTCATCCACAACCCAAGCTACAAACCTTCTTTAGAGCGCCTTGAACATTTTGTTGGAGGTGAGGATGGGGGAAGACAGAAACGAGGGAGAAAGAAACAACTCATTATTGATTATTGACTTAACACAACACCCCACAATCTTAACACAGTTGATTTATCTCATTTTTATCTAGAATATTAATACTTATAACTGAGCTTATGTTTATGAGCATCAGCAGAAACAGACACCGATGAACAAGGTTCAATCCTTTATTAACTGCAAAATCCAGCCATTAATTGTGACTTTGCTGGTGTCTCAATAGGTTGGATGAATTAACGAAATTCTTCCCACACTTGGTGCAAGTGAATGGCCTTTCCCTGGTGTGAACTCGCTGGTGTTTAGTCAGGCTAGTCGACTGTCTGAATCTAGTCCCACAGACAGAACATGTGAATGGTCTCTCATCGGTGTGAACACGTCAATGGGATATCAGTTCCCAGGTTCTTTTAAAGCCGTTACCACAGTCTGAACATTTGAAAAGCTTCTCCTCATTGTGAACATGCTGGTGTTGCAGTAGGTGAGATGACTGAATAAATCCCTTCCTACATTCAGAGCAGGCAAATGTGAGCTCCGCCCATTGTGAGCTCTCTGGTGCACAGTGAGGTTGGATGAGTGCTTGAGCCAAGCCCCACAGTGAGAGCACCCGAAAGGTTCTCATCAGTGTGAACATATTAATGGGACATCATTTCCAAAGAACTTTTACAACACTTCCCACAATCTGGACATTTGAAAGGTTGATCGTCAGTGTGAACTCGTCGGTGTCTCAGCAGGTTGGAGGAATTAATAAATCTCTTCCCACACTCAGAGCAAGTGAACAGCCTTTCGTTGTTATGAACTTGCTGGTGCTTAGTCAGGCTGGACGATTGTCTGAAGCCAGTCCCACAGTGAGAGCACCTGAACGGTCTCTCGTCAGTGTGAACACGTTGATGGCTCATCAATTCCCAGGTACTTTTAAAGCCCTTACTGCAGTCTGGACATCTAAAAGGCCTCTCCCCACTGTGAACCCGCTGGTGTTGCAGGAGGTGAGATGACCGAATGAATTCCTTCCCACACTCGGAGCAGGTGAACGGCCTCTCCCCTGTGTGAACCCGCTGGTGCACGGTGAGATTGGATGAGTGCTTGAACCGAGTCCCACAGTGAGAGCACTTGAATGGTCTCTCGTCTGTGTGCACACGTTGATGGGACATCACTTCCCAAGAACTTTTACAACACTTGCCACAATCCGGACATTTGAAAGGTTTCTCGTTAGTATGAACTCGCCTGTGTCTCAGCAGGTTGGAGGAATTAACGAATCCCTTCCCACACTCTGAGCAAGTGTACGGTCTTTCCCCACTGTGAACTCGCTGGTGCTTAGTAAGGCTAGATGATTGTCTGAATCCAGTCCCGCAGAGAGGACACCTGAACGGTCTCTCATCAGTGTGAACACGTCGATGGGACATCAGTTCCCAAGTACTTTTGCAGCCCTTACCGCAGTCTGGACATTTAAAAGGCTTCTCCCCAGAATGGACCTGCTGGTGTTGCCGCAGGTGAGACGATCGTGTGAACCCCTTCCCACACTCGGAGCAAGTGAATGGCCTCTCCCCGGTGTGAACCCGCTGGTGTACAGTGAGGTTGGATGAGTGTTTGAACCCAGCCCCACAGTGAGAACACCGAAAAGGTCTCTCGTCGGTGTGAACGAGCTTATGGGACATCAATTCCCCGGAACTTTTATAACACTTCCCACAATCTGGACATTTAAAAGGTTTCTTGTCAGTGTGAACTCGTTGGTGTGCATGCAACTCATTGGAGCCGGCGAACCCTCTGCCACATTCAGAACAGTTGAATGGCTTCTCTCCAGTGTGAATGCGTTGATGTCTTTCCAGCTGAGATGGGTAATTGAATTCCTTAGCACAATCTCCACACTTCCATGGTTTCACCACATTCTGACTGCACTTATGCTTTGGCAAGCCAGATGATCGGCTGAATCCTCGTCCGCACATGGAGTCCGTGTACAGTTTCTCTTCACTGTGTTCAGTGCTAATTCTGTCCATGTTCACAATCCAATGGTATTGATCCCCACGTGATGTTGGTTTCAGCTTCCCAACTGCAATCCGTCCTTTCAAATACACACACACACTATCTAAATTAAAGTTAAAACAGAACAAAAATTGAGTGAGACAGAAACCACAAAGCAAAAATTGTGAGATCGTGCGGATTGAAATCTGCTAAGTTGTGGTACCAGCACTAGGAATAAGTAATCACGAAAGCTGTCTGATTGGTATAGAAACCAGAGTGGTTTGCCGCTGTCCTTCAGTCTGCCCACTCAGTCTGGACCTAAATAACAAGCTAGGCGGTATGGGAGGAGGCAGAGAGAGATAGAAAAAAAAAGTGATCAAAACTGAAAAATGTGGTGAATGGGATGAATGGCAATGATTTAATGTATCAACAATTCATCCAGAACTTTGACAGAATTTCCCTAACTCTCAGCCACCTGGAATGACAGGGTAGCAAATATCTGTAAACACCAATCAGCTACAGGCTCCCCTATTGGTCACATACTGCTCTGACTTGTCTGGCATTGAGTAAAGGATGAACAGAAACTCCTTTCAATTAAATGTTGGGAAAATCAAGTAATTGTCTTCAGAACCTGACATAAACTGCACTCCCTCACCACTGGCTCCATGCATAACTGTGGCGAAATATTTCACCCCAAGGCAAATTGCATCATCACCGCCTATTTCCACCTCAGTAATTAGAACAGCAAATGCTGGAAATGCAAGTCAGGAAAACAAAAAGAGTAAATACAGCATAGAACAGTACGGCACAGGGACGGGCCCTTCAGCCCACAATGTTTTACCAAACATGACGCCAAATTAAACTAATCCCTTCCGCCTGCCCTTAGTCCATATCCCTCCATTCCTTGCATATTTGTGTGCTTATCTAAAAGTCCCCAAACACCCCTATTGTGTCTGCCTCCACCACCACCTCTGGCAGCTCTAAATACTCTATAAAAACAACTTGTCCCTCACATCTCCTGTGAATGTTCCCGTTCACCTTAAATGCATGCCAGAATTAGACATTTCAAATACTTAGATCATGATTACCTTTCATTAGAACTAAGGAAGTAAAGAAATGATACAGGGTTTCAGCCAGTGGAAGAGGGAAGGCCTGCGATATGATGGAACCACCTCAGTGACATCTTGGTCACCTTTGCCTCAGGTGTTTCTGAGGCATTCAGCGACCACTGGACAGGACAATTCTGAACCCTTCCTATTTGATCTCCTAATAAACTTCTAGATATTTGGATCATCCAAAACTCAGCTGCCAATGTCTTTGTTCATGCCATGCTCCTTTTACTATCACCAGTTTGCTGATCTACAAAAGCTCTGGTTCATAGAATCAGAGATGTCACAGCATAGAAAAAAAGTCCCTTCATCAAGTCTGCACCACTTAAAACAACCAGCTAACTATTCTAATTTTATTTTTGAGCATTTGAGCAATAGCCTTGTGGACCGTGGCATTGCAATTGCACATTCAAACACAGCGAGTTTCAAATTCCCACCACACTCTGGTTAAAAAAAAACGTTCCTCACATGCCTCTAAACCAGCTGCCTTAAATTTAATCGGTGCATTTGGTCATTGATCCCTCCACCAAAGGTAAAATTTTCTTCCTGTCTATCTATAGTCCTTAGTTAATACGTCTCAATCATGTTTCAGAGATAGTAGGAACTGCAGATGATGGTGAATCTGAGATAACAAGGTGTAGAGCTGGATGAACACAGCAGAGGGTCGAGGCCCGAAACGTCAGCTTTCCTGCTCGGCCTGCTGTGTTCATCCAGCTCTACACCTTGTTATCTCAATCATGTTCCAAGTCGGTCGACTCTGTTCCATAGAAAACAACCCCAATTGAACAAAGCATAAACTCACGTCCTTGTCTTCCAACTCCTCCATCGTCATGCCTTATCTATATTTTGAAATCGTTTCTCCCAGAGAGAACAGACGAACCAATTTATTTAGGAGATAACAGGAACTGCAGATGCTGGAGAATCCGAGACAACAAGGTGCAGAGCTGGATGAACACAGCAGGCTAAGCAGCATCATAGGAGCAGAAAGGCTGACGTTTCGGGCCGAGACCCTTCATCAGAATTTACTTCCCCATTCACTGACCGACGATAGACATGTCCTGCTCAAGCCTATCACTCTTTCAGATCTTAATGTGATGTGTCTTTGGATTTTTCTTTCTGGAAAACCTTCTTATTTAACAGCCCATTAAAATGCTTACAATATAATCCCTGACTAAGAGTCCAGCTTAGAAATTCGGAGCAGACAAACAGTTCCCGATGTTTGAGTTTGCTGTATGTAAATCCATCGACACACGCGCCCTGCCCCCTATAAAGATGGCGACCGCGCACACATCCCGCAGAACATTACCCCCAACAAAGATGGTGGCATATGCCAGGCCCCCGCCGCCGTTTTCCTCTTTGGTACTAATGCTGAACCGGGAGTTTCTAACTCAGGCTGGTAGCCTACGTCAGGCACTTATGAAACCTTCCGGTCCACAGTGATTCCATTTCTCTCCCGTTTTCTGCTGTTTCATCCTAATTACCTTCTCCTTCACTTCCCGCACTCCACCAGGCTTCGATCGCAGCAGCACTGCGTCTCCGTAGGAATGTGGCCCCGATGTTTGATCACGCGCCGCACCACGATCCCCACACCCACATTCGTTCTGATTGGTTGGAGGCCATTTCCCGCCCCAGCCCCCGCCCCTTCCCTGCTATTGGCTTGGAGCTGCCGTCAATCACCGTTCCCCCGCCCCATTGTGAGCTGAAGCATGCGCATCGTTCTGGGTTTTCTTTGCTGCTTATTACCACGTCGAGGAATGAAGGTGCAAGTTAGTGCTGAGGTCGGGAAGAAATGTGTCCCAACCGTTTTCCTCCAATAGTTCAGAGCTCCTAGACACAGAACACAAGCTCCGGCAGGTTTCAGTTTCCAGTCTGAAAAAGACTGTGGTCATTTGTAGTCTGAGGATTTAAAATGTTTGGGAGAATCGGGAATATCACGCAATGTAAAGCAATAAGAACGTGCATTTATATGGATCATTTCACCTAGACGGAGGATAGAAAAGGGCCAGAATTGGAGGAGGGCAGGGAGTTCAGAGGGTCACGGCCTCGAGGACATCCCAAACACTGTCTGTCACGGAATTAGTGGCTGTTTCCATGGAGCTGCAAGTACAGCTCTGAAAATGGGACGATGCAGTTCATGAGCACAGCCATGCATGTGATGCTACTACATTAAACAGGATAACATTTACTGTTCTTCGTAGATTTACAACATGTAACTTATCTCCACCAAGCTGGTTCACAACAGTGGGAGCATTGATGTTGATGTGGGTCCATGATAGAGATGACGGAAAAAAGGAGACAGGGAAGTGGGACTTCAGCTCAAACAACTCTTCTCACCTTTTTAGCCCTCAACATCCAGATAGTACCCAACATGCAACATTGTCCTTCACTTACTGATTCTGCCCATGCACAGGTACTGAAGGAACAGTCTTTATCTGGATCCTCAGAGAGAGTGGACACTAAAAGCATCTAAGCAGTGAGACCAGGGATCTGAGCAGCTTGTCTCTATCTCCATTAAACCACACAGGATGTATATTAGGAAGGTCTGGCTAAAACTTGTAATTCAAAAATGGTGAGCATGTGAGGATTTGGCTAAATATTATGTTTCCTTTTTAAAAGTATACATAAAATGGAATACTTCCACCTCTTGTACATTTTCATTTCACAAGGACTAGCTCACCATTTGACTGATTTACATGGAGCACCATTACCATTTGCCCATCATCTCTCATTTTAATCACTCCATCTTTGGTGGCCGTGCCTTCAGTTGCTGCAACTGTTCACAATATAAACTAATAACTTGGAGGAAGGAAGCAAATGTACTGTTGTCATAATTGCAGACAACAAATAAAAAAGTGGAAAAGCAAGTTGCAAAAGAGATACAAACAGCTTACAGAGAGATATTGATTAAGTCAAAGAATCATAAAATCCCTACAGTGCGGATAGAGGCCATTCAGCCCGTCAAGACTGTACTGACTCTCCAAAGAGCATCCCACCCAGACCCACCCCCACCTCCCCACCCTATCCCCGTAACCCCTCATATTCAATGGATAATCCACCTAACCTGCACATCCCTGAACACGACGGGGCAATTTAGCATGGCCACTCCACCTAACCTACACATCTTTGGACTGTGAAAGGAAACTGGAACATCCAGAGGAAACCAACGCCATCATGGGGAGGACATGCAAACTCCACACAGACAGTCACCCAAGACTGCGATCAAACCCGGGTCCCTGGGGCTGTGAGGCAGCAGTGCTAACCACTGATCCACTGTGCTGCCCTAAATCTTTGCAAATTTTCTCATGCAAAGTTTGTCATGTAACATAATCATGGTGGACGTAAGAGTTTTGCAACTGACAGGAGACAGGTGAAGTCTAAAATTTACATAATGTATATTTTGTTCAACATGCATTTGTAATTATGAACACAGGAATTATATTTGTCTATCCAACTGGAGATTAAAGCTCTGGCAACCAAGTAGAACACAAAATCCAGAATCCCAGGAGATGGGTAAGCATGAGTGGATAAAGTTCTGAGCACTATTCTTAACATATGATGAATAACTTCATTGGCAAGTGTACATTTGTTCCAGAGTTGTCATTTTGATTTGATATGGTATAAGCTTAATTACTCGACATTCAACAACTCTATTAATATCCTATATTATGTCTACCAGGAAGGGACATCTAGATAGATCTTTGCTTTTTTTAAAATGTGTCTAATTGAATACAACTGCTATTTCAAACACTGCTTTGCAGCTCACGTCATATAAATTGCAAAGGTCCTTCAATGCAAGGCTCTAGGTATTACTTAATGCATTCAACAGGCACAATTATTGACCAGACTTCTAAACCAAGTCCTTCATGTTGCACTGTCTGCAACAGAGAGCTGTGATATTTAAAGCCATCCCATGTTGCCATAATCTCCTTGACATACTGACATTTTTCAGTATCTCTTGCCATACCTGATTCCATTTCTGATTCAGTAGGCAAAAAGTTGGCAAATGGTGTATAATGTGGGAAAACATGAAGTTGTTAACTTTGAAAGGGAGAACAAAAGAACAGAGTATTATTTAAATGGAGAAAAGCTGCAACACAAAGAGACCTGGGGTACTTGTGCATAAAGCACAGAAAGTTAGCATTGAATGTTGTCCCTTATTTCAAGGAAATCGGCGTTTACGAGTAGGGAAGTCTGACTGCAATTGTACAAGATGCTTGCGAGACCACATCTGTGAGCAGTTTTGATCTCCTTATTTTAAAAAATAATTGTTTCATTGGATGCAGTTCAGAGAACATTCATTAGGATGATCCTTGGTATGGAAGGTTTGTCTTATGAGCAAAGGCTAAACAGGTTGAGACTACTCTCTGGAATTTAGAAGAATTAGAGGTGATCTCATTCAATTATAAAGTATTCTTAAGTGGTTTGACAGGGTACATGCAAGAGGATGTTTCCCCTCATGGGAGAACCGAGGACCAGACAGCATAGTCTCAGAATAAAGAGGCACCAATTTATGACTGAGATAAGGAGAAATTTCTTCTCTCAGAGGGTTTGGAGCTCCTTGCCATAGAGAGGTATGGAGGCAGGGTCCTTGTGTATGTTTAAAGTTGTAATAGATAGATTCTTGAATAGCAGGGAAATCAAGGCTTCCACGGAAAAGACAAGAAAGTGGATGTAAAGAATGTCAGATAACCATGAGCCTGTTAAATGGTGCAGCAGGCTCAAGGGTCAGAGCATACTACTCCTTTTTGTACTTCTTATGGTCTTATAATTTGCTGCAGTTTTTCTAGTTCAGTGAGATGATTACTGAGTGAGTGAGTGAATGAGTCCCAATGTTAGAGACAACAAGGTGTAGGGCTGGATGAACACAGCAGGCCAAGCAGCATCATAGGAGCAGAAAGGCTGACGTTTCGGGCCTACGCCCTTCATCAGAAAAGGGGGAGGGGAAGGGAGTTCTGAAATAAATAGGGAGAGAGTGGGAGGCAGATAGAAGATGGATAGAGGAGAGGATAGGTGGAGAGGAAACAAACAGGTCGAAGAGGCGGAGATGGGGCCAGTAAAGGTGAGTGTAGGTAGGGAGTTAGGGAGGGGATAGGTCAGTCCAGAGAGGACGGACAGGTCAAGGGGGCGGAATGAGGTTAGTCGGTAGGAGATGGGGATGCAGCTTGAGGTGGGAGGAGGGGATAGGTGGGAGGAAGAACAGGTTAGGGAGGCGGGGACGAGCTGGACTGGTTTTGGGATGCGGTAGGGGGAGGGGAGATTTTGAAGCTTGTGAAATCCACATTGATACCATTGGGCTGCAAGGTTCCCAAGCGGAATATGAGTTGCTGTTCCTGCAACCTTCGGGTGGCATCGTTGTGGCACTGCAGCATCTGCCAATGTGCCCCACCACCAAAGACATCTTTCCCTCCCCACCCTTATCTGCTTTCCGGAGGGACAACTCTCTCCGTGACTCCCTTGTCCGCTCCACACTCCCCTCCAGCTCCACGACACCCGGCACTTTTCCCTGCAACCGCAGGAAGTGCTACACCTGCCCCCATACTTCCTCCCTCACCACCATCCCAGGCCCCAAGAAGACTTCCCACATCAAGCAGATGTTCATCTGCACATCTTCCAATGTGGTATACTGCATCCGCTGTACCCAGTGTGGCTTCCTCTACAGCGGGGAAACCAAGCGGAGGCTCGGGGACCGCTTTGCAGAACACCTACGCTCGGTTCGCAATAAACAACTGCACCTCCCAGTCGCGAACCATTTCAACTCCCCCTCCCATTCCTCAGACGACATGTCCATCCTGGGCCTCCTGCAGTGCCACAACGATGCCACCCGAAGGTTGCAGGAACAGCAACTCATATTCCGCTTGGGAACCCTGCAGCCCAATGGTATCAATGTGGATTTCACAAGCTTCAAAATCTCCCCTCCCCCTACCGCATCCCAAAACCAGTCCAGCTCGTCCCCGCCTCCCTAACCTGTTCTTCATCCCACCTATCCCCTCCTCCCACCTCAAGCTGCACCCCCATCTCCTACCAACTAACCTCATCCCGCCCCCTTGACCTGTCCGTCCTCCCTGGACTGACCTATCCCCTCCCTAACTCCCCACCTACACTCACCTTTACTGGCCCCATCCCCGCCTCTTCGACCTGTTTGTTTCCTCTCCACCTATCCTCTCCTCTATCCATCTTCTATCCGCCTCCCACTCTCTCCCTATTTATTTCAGAACCCCCTTCCCCTCCCCCTTTTCTGATGAAGGGTCTAGGCCCGAAAGGTCAGCCTTTCTGCTCCTTTGATGCTGCTTGGCCTGCTGTGGTCATCCAGCCCTGCACCTTGTTGTCTCAGATTCTCCTGCATCTGCAGTTCCTACTATCTCTGAGTCCCAATGTTAACTCAGATAGATACAGTTTGTATCATAGCGCAGTGAGATCTGACTACACGAAGTTGTTTAAGGCTTTGTGAAGAGCTGCTTTGCTGCAGTGGCAGGTACAGAAACCTGAATTTATATGTGGAGTTCTTGGCAAGATAGGGACTTTGGAGAGGAAAGAGTGCTTGGAGATGAGACAGCAGTTTACAAAGATAGTGGGGTCAAGGGTTTATCTATGTTGGAGTGTGTGATGATGACAGATTTGAAGGGGAGAGAGAGAGAAAGTTTAGTAGGAATCAGGTCATTGAGCAGAAGGTTGGTCCTGTTGACAAAATTATCTCAGAGGGCATGAGGTGCAATGGGAGAGAACTAACTGAAGATGTGAGTTCAGGTCTCGGGCAAGGAAGAATTTTAAAGCTGGTTTGTGCCAGTAGCAGGAAGGAAAACAGCAGATTGTCCTAATCTCATTGACAAAAGAAGCTCCATGAGCTCCTCACACTTGTTGGATGTAAGTATGTAGGAAGTCCTTCAAAACAAACTGATGATCATTAGAGCTATTAAGATGATTCACCACATTGTGGGTTTAATGCAAAGCTAATTTTTATAACTTAAATTAGAACATTAACCACTGTAACTGGTTGGATTTAATTAACATCAGCAGAAACAGATTCCAAATGAACAAAGTGCAACAGGAAAATATAATCATTGTATTTACTTGTGAACTCGCTGATGTTTCCAAAGGTTAGATGATTGAGTGAATCCCTTCCCACACTGGGAGCAGGTAAATGGTCTCTCCCCAGTGTGAATTCGCTGGTGTTTAGTGAGTTGAGATGATTGCCTGAACCCAGTCCCACAATGGGAACACCTGAATGGTCTCTCGTCAGTGTGAACACGTTGATGGGACATCAGTTCCCGGGAACTTTTATAACACTTCTCACAATCTGAGCATTTAAAAGGTCTCTCATCAGTGTGAACTAACTGGTGTCTCAGCAGGGTGGATGACTGAGTGAACCCCTTCCCACACTTGGAGCAGGTGAACGGCCTCTCTCCCGTGTGAATTGGCTGGTGCCTCAATAGGTCAGATGAATGGGTGAATCCTTTCCCACACTTGGAGCAGATGAATGGCTTCTCTCCAGTGTGAACACGTCGGTGTTGTAGCAGGTCACCAGTACTTTTAAAGCTTTTATCACAGCAAGAACACTGAAATGGCCTGTTATCAGTGTGAACAAATTGATGTGAATTGAGGCTAGTTAAACAAGTGAAACCCTTCCCGCACTTGGAGCAGATGAATGGTCTCTCCCCAGTGTGAACTCGCTGGTGCTCAGTCAGCCTGGATGACTGAGTGAATCCTTTTCCACAGTAAGTGCAGCAGAAGGGCCTCTTTACTGTGTGAAATTGCTGGTGAGCTAGTAAACCTCCTGCATTTTTGAAGCTCTTGTCACAATCAGAACATTTAAAGGGTCTTGTTTCAGTGTGAACCACTTGATGTGCAATGAGGTGAAATTCATTCTTGAATGTCTTTCCACATACAGAACAAGGGAATGGTCTCTCCCCAGTGTGACTCCGTCGATGAATTTCGAGCTTGGATGGGAATCTGAATCTCTTCCCACATTCCGCACATTTCCATGGTTTCTCCATGGTGCACGTTTGCTTGTGTCTCTCCAGTTTGGATGAATGGTTGATGCTTCATCCATGCAGAAAGGACTCTTATGGTTTCTCTCAACTGTGAGCAGTGTGACACCTTTTTGTTCCACAGTCAGTGCACTGGAACACACTCACTTGTGTGTCTGTGTGTCTCAGTGGTTTTTCAGCCGCATCAATATTTGAAATATTTTCCTGAAGCATTTCTCCATCCACAAAGACTGATGATATTCAGGTCTTGATGAATCAAGATCTTGACCTGATGTTTCCAGAGTTTCCTGTTTTTAAATCATTTCCAGCTAATCCCTGGAAAAGGATGTGCAAGTGTCATATTCAACTCATGAAAGACTTTCAGAACAGACAAGTCTTGTTCCAATGGAATAACTTTTCCACACATGTTTTCACTCGAATACAAAATAAGCAACAGACATATTCCTAACGAAACCAGAATGTCATTTCCAGTGTCTCAGACACTCTGCTCACTGACATGCTCACCACTTGCCACAAGTGTCAATCATTCTGGTGAACTCTACATACTCCCTCGTCGGGACAAAGGTGGGCAAGGACAAGACATGGAGCTCCGCAATCTGTTATTGCAGTAAAGTGGAGTCAGCCATGATCTTATTGATAAGCTAGGTAGACTCGATGAGCTCATTGGCCTAATCCAGCTCTTATTTCCTACATTCAGCCATTGTGAACCCCTCACCCTCATGAGCCTTGATCATCTGAGCCCTACAAATTGCTCTTTGAACCAAAAGTAGGTCCAAGAGAGCATCCTCCATCTTCCTCACACATTATTCCACTCCTCTCCTTCCACATTGCAGCGAGCTGCCAAAATGTACCTGAAGATGAATAGCACCTCTTTCAGGTAATTATCCAGGGGCTGCAGCCTCTCCCACGAAAGGCTAATGGCCATGGGCCTCTGTGCTGCAAAACATCGGCTGTAGGCTTGGAGTGCCGAAGCTGCCGGAAAACCCAGCTTCCCGGGAAGTTCCATCCCCCAGGGCACCAGAGACCCGCCCCCGTCAACATCACCGTTAGAGTACGCGCATGCGCCCGCCTCACCCCAAGATGGCGGCGGTGGGCAGAAGCCTGGGCTCGAGAAAAAACCCCGGGGCTGCAAAGAGGAGACCTGAAAGTTCCTGATCGAGACTAAGGCCTTGCTTAGGCGTCTAGAAACCCTTCCTGTTCCCCAAACTCCAGCTCCAAGTTTCTCTCCCCGCCGCCACGTCCTCACCGGCTGCATTTCGTCCAAAGGAGAGTGTCCCGATCGCCCACCGACACTGCGCATGTTCCGCGCGCGCGCACACAGCGCCTGCGCTGTTGCTCGCCTGTGGTGTAGACTGGGGACTTTCACAACCTCAGGGGATAGGAGGAACTGCAGATGCTGGAGAATCCGAAACAACAAGGTGCAGGGCTGGATGAACACAGCAGGCCAAGCAGCATCATAGGAGCAGAGAGGCTGACGTTTCGGGCCTAGACCCTTCATCAGAAAAGGGGGTTCTGAAATAAATAGGGAGAGAGTGGGAGGCGGATAGAAGATGGATAGAGGAGAGGAAACAAACAGGTCGAAGAGGCGGGGATGGGGCCAGTAAAGGTGAGTGTAGGTGGGGAGTTAGGAAGGGGATAGGTCAGTCCAGGGAGGATGGGCAGGTCAAGGGGGCGGGATGAGGTTGGTCGGTAGGAGATGGAGGTGCGGCTTGAGGTGGGAGGAGGGGATAGGTGGGAGGAAGAACAGGTTAGGGAGGCAAGGACGAGCTGGACTGGTTTTGGGATGCGGTAGGAGGAAAGGAGATTTTGAAACTTGTGAAATCCACATTGATACTATTGGGCTGCAGGGTTCCCAAGCGGAATATGAGTTGCTGTTCCTGCCACCTTCAGGTGGCATCGTTGTGGCACTGCAGGAGGCCCAGGATGGACATGTCGTCTAAGGAATGGGAGGGGGAGTTGAAATGGTTCGCGACTGGGAGGTGCAGTTGTTTATTGCGAACCGAGCGTAGGTGTTCTGCATCAGGGATGTTGGGTACGGCCTACCGTTATATTCTCTAAGGTTCTGTACAGCCACCGACAGATTCACACTGAGAGTGGAAGAGAATCATCCTCGCCTGTCAGGGACAGCCATGATGATGAAACGCCCCAAAAGCTGAAAATGCATTTTTCGTTGACGTCTGCAGTGTAGGTGGTAGTCCGGGATTGGGGGATTGGCAATCGGTAACATTGGGAACAAACATTTACAGAGTCAAGCCCATTGGGGGCAATCTACGCGTGAAGCCAAAGGATAAAAGCATATTGTTAAATTAGTACTTCACATCTGTCTTTACTCAGGAGGAGTAGGATATGATTACAAAATTTGAGAAGATAGAGTATGTAGTTCTTCAGCATATTGATATAAGAAGTGCAGAGGTACTGGAGGTTTTCATAGAGTCATCATAGATTCCCTACAGCGTGGAAGCAGGCTATTCCGCCTACTGACTCACCGAAGAGCATACCACCCCCAACCAATTCCTGTAAGCATGCATTTGGCAGTTAGCCTGCACATCCCTGGACATGATGGGAAATTTAGCATGGCCAATCCACCTAACTTGCACATCTTTGGAGGAAAGTGGAGCACCCGGAGGAAAACCATGAGTACATGGGGAGAATGTGTAAACTCCACAGAGACAGGCGCCAGAGGAAAGAAGTGAACCCGAGTTCCTAGTACTGTGATGAGGCAGCAGTGCTAAATACTGAGCCACCGTGCCACCCCTTGATTTTGGTGAATGTAAAAGTTGTACAAATCCCACGCACTGTTGGAGTCAAGTGGAGGACCGCTAATATTTTCAACTTTACAAGAAGTGTGGTAGAGATAGACCAGTGAGCCCAACATCAGAGAATAGTGAAGGAGAAAATTAATCTCTATTTAGAAAAGCAAGGTTTGATCATGGAAGATCAGCTTGGCTTTGTCAGAAGGATGTTGTGCCCAATAATTTGGTGGAATTTTCAGAGAAGGTGACCAAATGTTTGGATGAAGGTAGGGCAGTTGATATAGTTTATATGGATTTAAGCAAGCCCCTTGACAAGGTCTCACATGGGAAACTGAGAAAGAAAGGAAAAGGTCACTGGTTCCATAGTAACTGGCAGGTTGGATCCAAAATTGGCTTACTGATGGGAGACAGTATGGTAGCAGAAGGCTGTGTGAGTGGAGTCTGGTGTACAATGGTGTACTGCAGGGAACAGTGCTGGGTCACTTATTATTTGATATTCATAAATTATGTAGATGAGAATGTGGATTACACAAAGTTTGGCTGTTTGACGGTGAGGACGAATATGTTTGGTTACAGGAGGATATAAATGGATTGGTCATTTTGGCAGATCAGCGGCAGATGGAATTTAACCCTATGAAGTGATATACTTTGGAACAAGGAACAAGATAAGGAATACTCAGTGAATGGCAAGACACTAGGAAGGTCAGAGGAACAGAAGGCTCTTGGGGTGCTTGTTCACAGATCCCTGAAGATGTAAGAACACGTTAATAGAGTTGTTAAGAATGCATATGGAATGCTTGCCTTTATCAGTCATAGCATAGATTATAAGAGAAGGGAGGTCATATTGGAGCTATACAGAACTTTGGTTAGTCACATCTGGAGTACTAGGTGCTATTCTTATCACCACACTATCGAAGGATGTGATTGCACTGTAGGGGTTGCAAAGGAGATTCACCAGGATCAGTGCTGGGATAGAACATGTCAGCTATGAAGAGAGGCTGGACAAGCTTGGTCAGCGGAGAAAGTTGAGGGAGGATCTGATAGAGGTGTACCAAGACGATGTGGGGCATGAACAGGGTGAATAGAATAAAGCTGAATGGAGCCTTAGTCAAATAGCCAAAAACCGGGGCCATAATTTTAATGTCAAAGGCATGAGGTTTATAGGGGTTTGAGGAAAAGCGTTTTCACCCAGAGGGTGGACAGGGTCTAGCATAGACTGCCTGGGAGAGTAAATGAAGCAGGAAACTTCACAACCTTAGATACAATTAAGTATTACAATTGAGTAAAGGTAATTACAAAGACATGAGGGAGGAGCTGGCCAGAGTTGATTGAAAGGGGAGGCTACGAGGGAAGACAATGGAGCAGCAATGGAAGAGCTTCTGGGGGTATCTCAAGAGGCACAGCAGAAATTCACCCAAGGAAGAAGAGGCATACTAAGGGGAGGATGACGCAACCATGGCTGACAAGGGAAATCTGGAGCAGCATAATAGCAAAAGAAAAAGCATATAATGTGGTGAAGATTAGTGTGAATCCAGAGCATTGAAAAGCCTTTCAAAACCAGCAGAAGATAACTGAAAAAGCAAAAAGGGGTGAGGAGATGAAATATGACAGTAAGCTACCTAGTAATATAAAAGAAGATTGCAAGAGCTTTTTTTTTAAATCCATAGCTAGAAGATAAGAGAGAAGCAAGAGTGGATCTCTGGAAAATGAGGCTAGAGAAGTAGGAACGGGGAACGAAGAAATGGCAGAGGAACTGAATAGGTCTCTTGTATCAGTTTTCACTGTGGACGACATCAGCAGCATACCAGAACTTCAAGAGAGTCGGGGGCAGAGGTGAAGGTAGTGGCCATCACTAACGAGATTGTGCTGGGGAAGATGAAGGTGAATAATTCATCCAGACCAGATGGACTACAGCCCGCAGTTCTGAAGGAGATAGCTGGGGAGATTGCAGAGGCATTGATGGTGATCTTTCAAGAATCACTGGAGTCAGGAAGGGTTCCAGAGGACTCAAAAATGGCTAATGTAACATCCCTGTTTAAGGAAGAGGCAGAAGACAACAAACTATAGGCCGGTTAACCTGACCTCAGTCATTGGTAAGATTTGATAGTCCATGATGAATGTCGAGATTGCAGAGTGCTTCGAATTGTATGGTAAAGTCGGGCTCAGTCAGCACCATTTCATCAAGGGGATTTCATGCCTGACATGTCTGTTAGATTTCTTTGAGGAGATAATTTGCAAGTTAGACAAAAGAGAG